AAAATCAGGACTTAGAGTCTCACATAGATTGCACAGGGAGAGGTTGAGGCAGATAATGCTAACCATGTCGCCTTAGGCCAGTGCTCTCCAGTTCCCAAGAACTAAGTGGGTGTTTATTAAAAATCTAGGTTCTCAGATCCCACCCCAGAATCTCCAGGGAAGGGATCTGGGAATACAGTTTTAACAAGCATCTCAGGTGATTCTTGGCGTCGGACAAGTTTGAGAAACTGCCATCATCCTATTGCCTACTAGGACTAAAATATTTCCAAAAGTTGTATGTGTGTGTGTGTGTGTGTGTGTGTGTGTGTGTGTGTGTGTGTGTGTTATTGCCAAGGTTTTTAAAGTTTGAAAAAAAATAGTCAAATAGCCCATATTGGCGTTATAAACATTTCTTAGTGAAAACATCTGTTATTTGTGTAGGGTTGTAGAGTTACAGAGGGTTTTCCCATATATTATCTCATTTGTTCCTAATACCAACCGTTTGAGGGGCTGGGCAGCAAAGATCATGTTCGGCCCCAGATTACACATGGGAAGTGGGCTCCACGTGTAGCTGGCAAGTGGCAGAACTGGCTTTGAACAGGATCCTTCACCATGTGGGCAAGTCCAACACCAACCTCTGAGCCCACCCCTTTTCCTCTTTTCCCCCCACACCCTGGTCACCAGGTTGATGGCAGCATTTGTAACATGGATTTGCGTACCCACACCTTTGCACACCATGATCCCTCTGCCTACATGTCCTTCCTTCCCTGTCTGCACACTCAAACCCATTCATTAAGGTGCCTTCCATGAAGCTTTTCTGGATACTCTTCTCACTCTGCCACCCAAGCAGAGACAGTTTCTCTTTCAGCTGGGTTTCCATCAAGCTTTACAAATCCTTCTACCATATGTTGGGTCTTGTTTAATATAGGTGAGTTCAGTGATACCTGCTCAGTAATGCCTCCCCTCTTGCTCCCCACCCCACCATTGTACCACTTTATTTGTTTTTATTTTTATTTATTTATTTATTTTTTATTCTACTACAGGTGACAAACAGAAATGTTAGCGTTGAATAGCCACTTACTTTAAAAAGATGGGAAGTAATCATGTCTAAAACACTCAGTGCTTGTTGGCTAAAGCTATGGGAAGCATTCAGGAATGATTTAAAGGGTTGTCCAAACATTGACAAAGAATTGTTCAGGAGGCCAGAAACGTGGCCATTAACATCCTCTAGGAACAGAATTGTTTAAAGGGAGCAGGGAACGTTGTCTAATGAGAGATGGGGGAAGGACAGGGGACTCTATGCACAAAAGCATAGATTTGGTAGTTTCCTTGATAGGTAATTTAAGGGCCTTTCAAGGACATCTTCAACTAGGGGTGATTTTCATGTTATACTCATAGCCCCAGGTTAGATGTGACTGTCTGTCATGGCTTTCAAATCATATTATAGTTAATTCTTTATGCAAATACACCCCCTACTAGACTTCGAGTGAGGGTAAGCCTGAGCCATATTCATCTTTGTCTGCCAATTGATAATTGTTGAATAAACTTTTTGGGGAACATATCTTCTAGCCATCTGCATCTCAATGCAATCCAATTATTTAATTATAGTTCTAATTCAAATTCTCCTGTGTTTACAGCCACCATTGGTCCAAGCAATCTTCAGCGGTGATCCAGAGGAGATACGGATGCTCATCTACAAAACGGAAGATGTGAATGCTCTGGTAGGAGATGCTCTGGCTTTTCCGGCTCAGACCCTCTTAACCTGTTCTGTGCCAGGGACCTCTCTGGTGTCTGGTGAAAGCCCTGCCCTGCTTCTCAGAATTCTGTTTTTAAATGCACTAAATAAAATATATAGGGTTCAAATAGAAATCAATTATATTGAAATTCAGTTATCAAATCAGATTTTTCCTATAATAATATATGTATTTATCAGCACATTTAAATGGCAAGATACAGTAGGAGATCTAATAGTGACCATAATTTAAAAATAGTGGTGAGCCAGATGAGTATTTTGTGTTACCTGCTACCACTCTAATGTGGTATGAATGTGATTTCTGCTGACACTACTGAGGTTTGCTGCCCGCATTCATAATGCGAAGAAACGTGGAGTTTCCATTAGAAGTTAGTGAAAATAGGGACAGAAAATGTGTACATCTAGAACCCTTGCCCTACAGCAGGGATTGACAAACTATGCTCTGTCACCTGTTTTCGTACAGACTACCAGCTAAGAATGGTTTTTATTTTTTAAATAGCCGAAAAAAGAATGAAAAAGGAATATTTTGTGATACAGGGAAACTCTGTGAAATTCAAATTCTGCTATCTACAAGTAAAGTTTGGTTGGAGTACGGGCAGCGCAGCCTTCATACTGCAGCAGCAGAGTTGAGTCGCTGTGACAGAGACAGTATGTGGCCTGAAACGCCAAAAATATTCACTCTCTGGCCCTTTAGAGGGAAATTTTGCTGCCCTCTGCTCTGGAGGGTCCATGAACCTGGAATCAGTGGATAGACTTGGCATTCTGTGTGCACCCTGAAATCGTGTGTAATATGTGTGTGCACTTGTGGACATATTTTTTTCTGTGAAAGGGTCAGGGCATTTCATCAAATTCTTAAACGAGTCTGTGACCCCCCACAGATTAAGAACCACTGGATCTGGAAGTTCTTGAAATAAAGAAACCTGCAATGAAGAAAGGTGCAAAGAGTTAGTCAATCATTTACCCTGTTAATAGTTTTCTAGACCTAGATTAAACAGGCAATTATGTACAGTACATGCTACTAATTTTCTTAATGTAACTCAATTACTTAAATGCTCCAGTCCATCGGGGAGAGGAGTTTTCTTTGAAATCTCTAGTGTTCAGTAGGAACAACAGAGTCAGAAACATCGGGGTAAGAAGAGCTTTGCCACTGGGAAATGAATTCTGTCTGAGGTTGCATCACTATCCGGTTGGCTGAATGCTTTATTCAGAAGGCGAGTCATTGGTGCAGCCATTGTTCTGTGGCAGTGTAGGTTGCTGTGGGTTTTTGAAAAAGCTTTGGGCCACTTCTCGCCAGCTGGCACTGAAAAGAACGGAGCAATGTGCTGTGACATTTTTGCAAGGTAAGCACAGATGAGGCCAGGGCCAGACTACTTGAGAAGGCAGTTGGGCACTTGTGCAGGGCCTGCGGGGCCCTGTACTTCTGAGAGGAGGCGAGGCAAGGAGGCTGATCATCTATGGTTCTGACATCACCAGAATTTGCCCAGCCTGTTTTGTGGCTTTTCCTGAGGATCATGAGTAAACAGGACTTTTGTTCATTCGTACATCCCAAGAAAGATTTGGACTGTCCTCTGAATGACCTTTATTTCTCCTTAGGAAAGTGACAAATGTCCACTGGCTGGTAAAGATTAGGGGAGCTTAACTTGAGTTGTCACCTAACTGTGTGACTGAATTAGAGAGGTTTACTCCTGAACACGTAGATTCCTAAGTGTCTGACGGCTCAAACATAGGAGAAGGTTGATTCTCTTATGAACAGATGAGAGGGGTGGCTCTCTTCCACATAGAGTCCCAGGTATCAACATGTAGCTTCTAAGGTCACTCAAGGGGTTTGTCTCTAGTCCAACCAGAGGGGAAAAAGGAGTGTGAAGGCAAAGCATGGGAGGATTTTCATGGGTCCGCTTGGCAGTGACTTAATCACTTCCACCCACGTCCCACTGCCCAGAACTCAGTCATGTGCCAAACTTACCTACAAGGGAGGTTGAGAAATTAGTGTAGCTGTGGCCCCAAAGAGTCAGAGAACAGGAACTTGGGTGAACAATTAGCAATTTTGGCCACACCAATTTTTGGTCTTAGAGAATTCTAGGGAATACCTCTTGTCTGTACAGTGTCTTGTTCTTTCGACAGTTATTTACTGAGTTCGGACCCTGTGTTAGGTGCTAGGGATACAGCAGTGAGAAGATAGCC